CCCTAATCCATGTGGTCAGGAGTTCTGGGTTCATGTTCTAGCTCTCCTCACCAAGTGGTGAGATATAGAGCTACATTCTTCTCAGCCCCCATTCTATAAAGAACAATATTCCCCATTTAAACCTTTTCTATTTATCTCTTTGGCATCTTTTTTTCCAAGTGATTATGAGGTCATATGGGGCTACAAACAGTAAGACAAGAATACTCTATTAATGGTGTGAATTTCTAAAACTATGATGCAGGTATACATTTTATTATTAAACATGAGACTCTTGCTGTCTTCCCTCCCATTTTCAGAGAGATGGAACCATGTCACCACTACCACAACTAGAAGGCCAGGAACAACTAGAGCACCATCAAATCCTATGGGTAAGACAAGCTCTCTGAGGAGAGAAGTAAGGGAGGATTTCCACATCAGTTACTTGTTTAAGTGAGTGTATTAGATAGGATTACTATCGCTGTGATGAGACACCATGACCAAAATCAAGTTGGGGAGGAAAGGGTTTATTCAGCTTACACTTCAGCTTTGCTGTTCATCATTGAAGGGAGTCAGGACAAGAACTCAAACAGGGCAGGATCCTGGAGGCAGGATCTGATGCAGAGGCCATGGAGGGTGCTGCTTACTGACTTGCTCCTCATGGCTTACTCAACCTGCTTTCTTATAGAACTTAGAACCACCAGTTCAGGGATGGAACCACTCACAATGGGCTGCCCCCATCACTAAATAAGAAAATGCCCTAAAAGCTTGCCTACACCGTGATCTTATGGGGACATTTTCTCACATGGGGTTTTCCCTCTAAGAAGATTCTAGCTTATGTCCAGTTGATATATAAACTAGCCAGCACAGTAGATGATTGTTTCTTTTGTTCTTGTGGTCCCCAGAACCAGATGGTTTTAACTTGGCTGATGCCTTGGATGATCAAAATGATCTAGGTGGCCGAAAAAAACCAAATGCAGGAGAAGGAGGAGGTAAGTTCTAGCTGCTTGAAATCATGGGTCAATGCTACAGGTCTTGCTAGGCTCTGTCTGTCTTGTTACCTGTAATGAGGGAGGTAACTCTGTGATCAGTGTGATCAAGTCAGACGTATTAACAGGTGCTAATCAATAAAGTAAACTCACAATACAGAACGAGACTGCAGCACCACCGCTGAGTTCCCAATTGTGATCCGGGAAGGTCTGGGTAAGGACACCAAGCCTGGCCTCAGCAAGCCCTCCTCAGGCCACTCCCACCCCCGGTTCTTATCGGGTCATGTATTTCCCGAAAAGAGCATGCCCACTGGGGCAAGCCTCCCCAAAAAAATTGGCTATTGGACCGAATTCCCATAACATACGTGTAATAGCATTCAGGGCCATTTAGAATACTGTAGAACCATGCCACTTGAAGCTGTGGGGGAGAACCCTACAATAGTCATGCTGAATTTATTGATCTTGGGATTCCCTAAATTATTGGAAATCTCATTAACATTTGCCTATGTGGCTCATATCTCTCAGTGTTTATCATCTGTATATTTAAGTCTTAAAAGACAGTATTACCAGTCCAATACTAAAACTGTACATATTAACATAATATGTGTATAATTTATGAGAAATTATTGTGTGGCAAGATGAAAACAATTTTGTGAGATGAATGCCATTTTAAATTTGTCAGAAATTTCTAGACTGCCTATCTTGCTAGGGGATGCCTGGGTTCTCATATTGAGATATGCAGCTTGAAAGCTGTCTTCTGCCCTGTACATGTGTAGAGTGGCACATTCATACTCACACACACACACACACACACACACACACACACACACACTCACACACACACCCACACACACACGCTCACACACACACACACACTCACACACACAAACTCACACACACACTCACACACACTCACACATATACACACACACTCACACACACTCACACACACACAAACACACAAACTCACACACACACTCACACATACACACACACTCACACACACACACACACTCACACTCACACACATACTCACACACACACTCACACACACACACTCACACATATACACACACACTCACACACACTCACACATATACACACACACTCACACACACTCACACATATACACACACACTCACACACACTCACACATATACACACACACTCACACACACTCACACATATACACACACACTCACACACACTCACACATATACACACACACTCACACACACTCACACATATACACACACACACACATACAAACTCACACACACACACACACACACACACTTAGAACAATATGTAAATCAATAATAAATAAATAGAAGTGTTTAACAACTTTTCCTCACTCAGTTACCCTTTAGTTACTTTTCTAATTGCCCTGACCACATACCTGACAAGCAAAGCAAGGTGGAAGCATTCATTCATTGATTTGGCTGGCTTCTTCTGTTAGTTACCTATGGTTGTGTCACAAATCATGAGAAAGTTAGGGGACTGTTTTTAAAGAAATGAATTAAGATAGTCTTTGTTCAGTCAAGAAGCTGAGTTTCTATTCAGAGTCTCAGATAGCTGCACCCCAGATACTCGGATGGAGGTCTTATCTGAGCTGACATTCTCTTCAAAACAAGGTCATGTGGTTTGTTGATAGAGTAGATTTCCCTTCAGCTATAGAGATAGTGGCTTCTTTAAGACCAGCAGGAGAAAGAGGACAGGGTTCAGCTTCCCATGTCTGAGCTCAGCGAAGCGAAGAACAAGGTTTGAAAGAGATCACTTTGTTCAGTCAGGCTTTTAATGACTTGGACAAAAATCTCTTCATCTTTGGCATATAATTCAACTTAACCACTAGGATTATATTCCTTTTTTGTGTCACACAAATACTCAAGGTGACTGGAGGTTTTACAGAACACATATACTGGCAGTGGCAATGTGAGGGCCTCTTGGAGTTTGGCATGTCATCTTCATTCTCTTTCTTCTCCCTACTCTGTCCTTACTTTTGGCACCGGGCATAGTTCTCAGGGCCTTATGTGTGCTGGATCACTGAACCACACTCCCACTGCCACGAAGAACAGCCAAGTGTCATTGGCAACATTGACTAATCCAAATTCCAAATTTCTTGGTGCTGAAATATTTTCATTACTCTAATGTATTTTTTCTAGGTTTTTCAGATAAGGATCTTGAGGATATCCTAGGAGGTGGGGGATACAAACCTGATCAGAATAAAGGTAGGAATATTTCTTTGTCCGACTACACACCTAATTGTCATTCAAATGTTGACCATTCAGTCTCCAGGTAAAGCCCACCATTATTACTCAGCCTCTGGAAAATAAGCCTTAGACATTTCCACTTGTTATTTGGTGTGTCTTCTCACGCTTGGGATTGGGGGCCCATTTGTAAGCCAATGTAGAGAAGCTGCCCTTTTGCCCTATTGTTCTTTAAGTCAAAGTGCTGCCTGAGCTAATGTCTCTCCATTAACAGAAGCCTGTTTATGAGGCAGCACCAAGAGCCTGTGATAGGACAGTCACAGGAGGCATCCTGGTATCAAGAAGACGACAGCCTACCCTACTTGAAGAGCCAGTGTTCCATGCAGTGGGAGGATTCAGACATAACATGACAAATATCTTGAAAAAGCAATCAGATTTTTTAATAGTATATTAGTGTAGGACTGGCAGAAGTTTTAAAATGGTTCAGGAAGGCTCCTGTATACTCTCTACACAGCTTCTCCCAAGGATTTTCAAATGCACATCCACAGAATATCTAAAGTAGGAAGCTGACATCTGTAGGATAAGGTCACCCACTGACCTTCTGAGGATTTTGTCAAATCTCATCTTACATGCACTGGTGTGTGCACATCCACAGAATATCTAAAGTAGGAAGCTGACATCTGTAGGATAAGGTCACCCACTGACCTTCTGAGGATTTTGTCAAATCTCATCTTACATGCACTGGTGTGTGTGTGTGTGTGTGTGTGTGTGTGTGTGTGTGTGAAATTTTATCACATGTGTGATTTCAATAGCCATCACCACAACTGGGGAGACACTCAGAAATTCTCTTCTTCATGCTACCCCTGAATAGTTGTGTCCTTCCCAAAGTCACATGTTTGTAGTTCCCCAAGCTATTAATGATTGAAACCTTTCATCATAGCATATGTCAAATTGGAACTTAAGCCTGGGTTGTGAGGTATGAGCAGGCTTGTGGGTGTGTTTATGTTGGAAACTGTAGGTGTAAAACACTACAGCTGTGGCCTCTTAACTGCAATCACTTGTGATAAGATGTTATAATGATAAAGTGTGGTGTTTGGAACTCTTTTCTTATTATTCCCTGTTGTGAGGAAAAATTGTAGCCGAGTCTGAAGGCTGTAAGTTGGGAGATTATCTGGGTATAAGTCTTCAAGACTCCCCTCCCCAAGCCATGGCTAAAGTAGTAGCATTTGCTTCTTTCTTGCAAGCACTGTGCCTTTCATATGGAAACAGTGTCCTCTTTTGCTTAAAATGTACAGTAGTCACATTTGTCCCAAGAAACACCTTTCCAGATGGTGTCATCTCTAGGAAAAAGTTCTAAAAGCCTCTAAATGAAACTTCCAGGTGTCAGGATAACATGGAGCATTTAAAGGGCAAACCCAGCAAATGAGCCAATTACTCCTGGGTGATGATTGGTATTTCTAGATGAGGAGATGAGAGCAGTGGTCGTGTATGTATGCATACACAGGGTTGAAAGTCTGAGTGACGTGCCGGGGGCTTTTCTTCATTAAAAGTACTTGTTTTAGCTGGAAAGAAGTGTTAGGGAATTCTTTAATTAGGCTCATATTGGAGCTTGTCTTGTAAAGAATAATCAATTGTTAGCTTCAGTTATTCCCTGTCATCGTAGGTGTCAGGAAAGAAGATCAAAGGGTAAAACTGGAACATGGGTGAGAGTCACATTGTCCCCTTACAGCAAAACAAGCTCATGATGAGGAGTGAAGGGAAACCATCACATTTACATAAATTACAAACTCAATTTGTGCACTTCCCAGACTCCAGTTTTCAAGACATAGGTTCAGTTGTTGTTCTAGAGTGGATTTCTGAAGCAATACATTATCTGTTGTGTATTGTTTCCTCAAGACAACATTTTGGCACACTGTGTCTGGCTCAAAATGAGATTGTTACTGGGTCCTCTTGCATCTCTTGAAGCGAGTTGCTTGCCAACCCTCCACTTTTGTTTCCTTCTGCTGTGAGGAATGGACAAGATGTGGCTGGGAGAGTTTCTGCAACAGTGAGAATTCCTTCCCTGGTAGTTAGCACAGGCACTCAGTATATTTCAACATGGTTTTTCCACCTGATTTTGTTTGGTAACTGTAAGTCATTTGCAGCAGTGTCTTTTCCCTTTTTTGTTTTTTTCCCCCTATTTTCTTGGTAGGGCCTTATTTTGTAGCCTCCAGCTTGCCTGAACGTCATGAGCTTTCTGCCTTAGCCTTAGCCTTCTAGATGCTAGGTTCAAGGGAAGCACCACCATGCACAGCTTTATTTGCTGGATGAAAAAAATTATACTTCTCTTGTTACTTCTTTTTGAGATAGTAAAAGCACATTAAAAAATATCTAAAAGCCCTAGCTGTGTGTTGTTGGAAGTCTGGGACACTCACAATGTCCTTAAACACTTGAATACCTCCCTAGCAGTTGTAGACATAATCACTCTACTGTTCCATGAGCAATGTGTCCTTGACAACCAGATGCGTCAGGCACTCACTGTGAGCCACGAGCTGGACTGCCGTCAGAGAAGGGCAAGCACATGCCTTGTGTCCCTGTTTCTCTTAGTAAGTGGCTCTGTAGGACTCAAGGCTGACGTCTATATGTGCATTGTTGTCTTTGTATTTGAGATGCTGGGAGTCTGACACCTCTGTTGACAACAGAGCTTATTCACAATGTGTTAATCCATTCTCTTTCACTATAATAGAATGTCCAAGGCAGAGTAATTAATAAAGGAAAGACGTTTATTTGCCTCACAGTTCTGGAAGCTGGAAGGCCGAGATAGGTGGCTACATCTGGTGAAGGCCTCATGTTGCTCTCTAACATGGCAGAAAAGCAAAACGGTAAATGAGCACAGATCTGTGAGACAAAACACAAGGGCAGGCTCTCTTTGTAATTACCCAATCTTGTGGCAACTAACCCAGTCCCAGGACAAAAACATTACACTGCTACAGTGACAATTAACTTTCACCACAAGTTTCCATGGGAACAATATTTATTCAAAACACTTCACACAACTTCCTTACTGAGGTAGTACCTGTTATTCTACAGGGTCCATCCAAGTGATGGTGGTTGCTATAGCTACGTGGTCCCTATCTCTGTGGGACCTGCTATAGCAGCACTTACTACCATTGCAGTGGCAGTCTCTGTAGCAATGAGTCACTATAGTTACAGCCAGGGTCCCTAGAGCTAGGTATTCTGTATAGCTATCTGTGTGAATAGGTGAGTATCCTGAAAGCAAATTACAGTATAGTGTATACCATAGAAGGTAATTTGGGGCTATCCTCAAACTCAAGGCCTTCCTTTTGTCCTAGCATCCTAGGAAGCTTGACTATGTTCTGGGATTACAGGTATGTAACCCTATGCCAGCATATGCTATCTTTTTAAAACCAGCGTCTATTCAGTGATAGTCAGGATATTTTTCTCTCTTATGTAGATTATTTTGAAATATCATCAGTGACTACTTAATACTATATTACACAACAATTTATTTATCCTGTAGCCTATTTTGTGTAGTGGTTCCTCTAGCTTTTCAACTATATAGTGTTTGAACACTGTTGGGCCAAATATGAAAGGTCACAGTTGTTTCTGTCAGACAAATTCCTAGCACTAAAATTGCTGAGTCATAAGATGCATACATTTAAAAATGTGACTCTAAATGACATTACCAAATGATTTCTCATTTTCCCTGCTAGGGAGTAAGCAGGTATCCATTTTCTCCAATACTAACCTCAGTCCACCAAGCATTATGGTTTTGTAATCGTTGTGAATTCAATAAGAACAAAGCATTTGTCCTAATCATATTTTCATTTTCTTGAATCTGTGTGTTACTAGGAACTCAATATATGTTGTGATCTCCTGTTCATGTCCTTGACCCATTTTTCCTCATTGTTTTGCAACAGTTTATTTTATATTATGGAGCCCCTTTTCATATATTACCAAACATTTTATTTAGCTACTGACAGTTGATGGACCACTGGACAAAAGGTCATAATGAATGAAGTATATTGCTATGAACATAGCATATGTTCACATGAACATAGAAGTTTTTACATGGGCACAATTTTCAACATTGGCATATGCTTAGCATCTGTTAGGGCCTCTGTTCTGGATCCAGACATGGTGGGGAGGGATCACTTGTAAGACAGCAAGCATTCTGGCTGTGTCTCTCTTCCTCTTTTGATAAAACCACAGAGGTCAACCTGAGAGCTCCACCCTCATGACTTCATTTAATCATAATTTTCTCTCAGAGGCCTCACTTTCAAATTCCATTGACATATGACCCTAAAGATAAATTTTCTGGCAAATATGAATTCTGGGATACACATTCAAACCATAGAAGTGATATTGTTAGTGCATGCTGTAACTTTATGTTTCATGTTTCCAGGAGCTACTAAGCTGCTTCCACAGAAGCTGGGCAATTTCTCATCCTTACTAGCAATGTATGGAGGTTCTAGTTTCTCCATATCCTTGTTAAACTCTCCCCTTCTTTTCATTTCTTCCCCATCTTAAAGTAAGGGGGTGTTATGACTGAGCTGAGCTTTATTTGGATTTTTCTGCTAATTAAGTTAGTCCCTTCTCAGATACATATTTGCCAGTATTTTGGGAGTTACCATTCTAGTTTGTTTGTTTGTTTGTTTGAGACAGGGCCTCTGCGTCTTAATTCTACTACTTCAGTATACTAAGTGTGGAGATTACAGGCATAGGCCAGTACACCCAAATTTCACTTCATGGGTACAAAGTGTAGAGATTACAGGCATAGGCTAGTACATCCAATTCTCACTTCATGGGTACTAAGTGTGGAGATGACAGGCATAGACCAGTACATCCAATTCTCACTTCATGGCTGGCTATGCTAGGTCTCTTTCCCTTTACTCCCCATCTCACTCTCTTGTTTTGTTTTTGAGACTGTCTCATCATATAGCCCAAGCTGGACTTGAACACATAACCCTTCTGTTTTAGCCTCCTTCATACAGGAATTTAAGTGTGTGCTCCCACATACAGTTCATTGTACTTGTTTATAAGGTTCTTTGAGGCACAAGACTGTCTCTGTCTCTCTTTGGCCCTTTGGTCTGCTCTCACTTTCTTGCTCAATCCTGCTTATGCTCTTACTACTAAAGTTCTTACTTTTGATTGAATCTTTTCCATTTTGCATTTCTGACTTTATGATCATGTTTAAAAGCTACCCCTTGCTCCTAAGATACTATAAATGCTGTCCTAAAATGTCTTGTGGTCTTACAGTTTTATCTGTTTCATTTTTTATTGAAAATTCATTTTCATGGACTGTATTGAGTTGTTTAATGCCAGTTGAATGTCACTTGTTCTAATATTATCTTTTGCACATTGCATTTTGTAGAGAAGCTTGGTTCAGCCTATGCTCGGAGAAAATGAGTGGCACTCAGAAGCCAATGAGAGATGAAGGCCATGACTTTGGCCTGAGTAATTTTAGCAATAGGCCCAGGTGGCTTACTTTGGTTCATGTTCATGTGACTGGATGGACAGAAGGATTTAAAAAGATTAACGTGTGTGTGTGTGTGTGTGTGTGTGTGTGTGTGTGTGTGTGTGTGTGTGTGTGTATACTTCAAATACATTGAAGATAGATGTCAATGTTGACTGTCATCTTCAATGACTTTCTACCCTGGTTTTTGAGACACGGTCTCTTGCTGAGCCTGCAGTTCACCGATTTGGCTAGGCTGGCTCTCCATACTCTGTCTTGAGATGAAATGTCAATGCGTGCTGATCTGCCCTCTATTCTGCTCTGCTTTCTCCAGTAGCAATAATGGAGACAAAAATGTTGGTGTTCAGCTGGGTGTGGTGTGGTGAAACATACTTGCAAGTCTATCATTCTGAGCAGTGGTTCTCAACCTTTGAGTAGCAACCTCTGTGGGGACTCATATCATATATCCTGCATATCAGATATTTATATTACAATTCATAACAGTAGCAAAATTACAGTAATGAAATAGCAACAAAAATAATTTTAAGGTTGGGTGTCACCACAACATGAGGAACTGTATTAAAGGGTCACAGCATTAGGAAGGTTGAGAACCATTGGGCTAGAGGGTAAGGCAGGAAGATTCTAGAGTTTCAGGTTGGCCTGGGCTACATACCTGCTTCAAAAACAAAACAAAAAATACTGTTGTTATTTTTATATTTTATTTAATTATTTGGTTATTTAAGTGTGGGTGTTTTGTCTGCCTCTCTGTCTATACACTACTTGCATGCTTGGTGCGTAAGGATGCCAAAAAGAGTGCTAGATCCCTGGAATTGGAGTTACCCATGGTTGGGAGCCACCTTGTGGGTACTGAAAATTGAACTCAGGTCCTCTGCAAGAGCAGCCAGTTCTCTTAAACCCCCCTTTTAGTCAATAGGCAACCAGAGGCCTTTATGAAATTTTTTAACTGGAAGATTCAGTTCCACATAGTAACATAACAAACTTCATTTTCTCTCCCAGAACTCTTTCAAAACTAGATCAGTTTTAGAGTAGTTTTAGGCTCATACCAATACTGAGTGGAAAGTACAGAGTTCTTACATCCTACCTGCTCATCCCCATAACCTTCTTCACTACAGTGAAATATTTTAATACTTAACAAGTCTAGACTCTTTGATTGGTGAAGGAAATGTCAGTACTTGTTGCTTCCAACATCCTAGAGGTGACTCACCTACAACAGTACCCCCACCAATTCCCAACAAATCCTGAGAACATCATTTTCTGTCAGTGAGCACTAGGCCCTAGGATGAATTCAGGGCCAGTTGATGATCTGGACAGTACTTGATGTTTGTCATGGAGTCGTTCTCCAGGAATGGGGGCAGTCTCTTGCTGGGGAAGTGTATGTTCGTGCATGCACGCACTAGTCTTACAGTTTTGTCATATAGTGATAATTTATCACCATAATTAGATAAATCATTCTGTCACAAGGATCTCTCATCTATAACCTTTATAAGCAGGGCTAATGTCCTCCCCCAATTCTCCCCAACCTCTATTAGCATTAATCTGTTCTGCATCTCTATGATATTTAAGAACTTTTTGAATGTGAAAATATTAGATGTGGTTTTATGTTTGCATTTGTTTATGTTTCAATGTTTTGGTATAGATGTGCAGGAGATACTACTTGGTGTTGTAATTTACACTCAGGTCTAACTGCTTTTTGATCATCTTTCATCTGCCTGCAAGACTTGGCTCCCTGCCTTGTAAGATGGGGATGCTAAATGAACTGCCCCTAGTTGATAATGAAAAACTAACCTTGAAGCCAGAGCCTGAAGAGTATTGTGTGCAACAAGAGCTCAGTGTGTGGAAGAAATCATTTCACTAGGCCTTCTGGAGGTCTGAGCCTACTGGTCTTGGGGTTTTAGGGATCATAGCAGACACTAAGTCCTTTTATCCTTTCCCCAGGTGGTGGTGGTTATGCCAGCAATGATGATCCTGGATCTGGTGGGTATCCATGGCCCATGTTCTCTGTTGGAACCACAAGGAAAAATAATACTGGCCCACTCTGATCTTAGAGTTGCTCTTCCCTGTCCTTCCCAGAATGTTTCTGTTAGTCAGCTTTCTATTACCATGAAAAATACCAAAGATATGTAATTTTAAAAAGTATAAAATGTATGTTGCTCATGGTTTTAGAGATTCAAGTGCAGGTCACTTGACCCTGTTGCCTTCGGGTCTGTGGGGAAGAGAACTATCATGGCAGATACAGCTGGTAGAGAGAAGGCTGCTTACCTCCCCTCATGGGTTCTTAGAAACTCATAGCTGGCTATTATAACAAAGCCATGAAATCTATTCCACTATAACTTCACCCCTTGTTGAGGGTGGAGCCTCCTGATCCAATTACTTCTCAAAGGTCCTACTGCTCCTCACTGCTGCATAAAGAACAATCTTCAACTCATGAGTTGAACATCTAAATCACCACAGTTACCAATAGAATCACAAGGCAAATAGCAGAGAAGAATAAGCCATTCAGTGGAAGTAACATGAAGACATAGGTCCTGGGATAGGTGGCCCAAAGGGAAACCTGTTAACTTGAGACTCCGATTACTGGCTAGGTCTCTGTAAGTGAGAGGACTGCAATCTGCCTCTCATGTTTCTCAAGATGACTGCCTTTATGGAAGAACAAAAGCACTTGGTAAATCCACACCATTGCCATGCCTTGGGTATCTGTGGCATAGCTCTTCTACATGGACTTGGAGAACAAGTCCATGAACATCTACATGAACATCTGAGCCAGCATAACTTGAGGATATCAGAGCAGCAGAATCCTGAATGAACTGTTGGCACTTGGAGTTTTAGGTCTTTGCTACTCAGTTCTTTCTATCCTTCCATGTCCAGGCATGTCGACAGAAACTGGGACCATAGCCGGTGTGGCCAGTGCCCTGGCCATGGCCCTGATTGGAGCTGTTTCCAGCTACATATCCTATCAGCAAAAGAAGTTTTGCTTCAGCATTCAGCGTGAGTAAATAGCAAAGCAGGGAAAGGGGCCCAGGCAAGTTCTCATCCTTTCCCCTGCCTGTTCAATAGCAGTAGGCTTCATAGCAGGTATACTTTGTACATCCTTAGAGACAAATTCAGGCAAAATTCAAGGTTATCCTGGTCTGGAAAAATACAACACATGGGGCCAGACTATGTGATCTTGACTTTCCAGGCATCTCAGCTAGAAGAGGCCGTACTTCTGTTGGGACAAAGCTCAGTAAACACTCTGATGTTTTATTTCCAAAGAATGGTAGTAACCCTGAGAGATCCTTATGACCTCAGATCTCACCCAAGGGGATGCTGGGCCTTCAGAGGCCCAATGTCACAGCCCCTTCTATTGCCAGTCAGAATACCATGATGTCCAAGAGTCTCTTCAACATGGCTGACATCTTCAGGCCTCTTATGATTCTGGCGGTATGTCACTACCTGGATGCCCTCTGCTCCTCCTCAAGTCAGATCATTTAAAAGTCTGTGAAGTCATAAGTCGTTTTAAGGAGTAGTAATGAAAGAAAAATCAGAGTGAGTGTTCATTCCTATGCACTGGAATTCTAAAGGACAGATTGCTTTTGCTGTAGGCTGTAGCCACAAGTAGAGCACTGGTGAGTAAATCAAATAGTTACAGAGGGTCTCCAGTCTTAGAAGGCTATTTTTACCCCATGGCATGAAACCTCTGAGGATGCTATTGAGGCAGTTAATTATAAACTTTGCCATAGCTCTGGTTCAAAGTGTTACCTTTTTATCTCTTCACAAGAAAATCTTGAAAATACTTATCCAAACTCCTGCTTCCCCCCTTTGGACAGCAAGAATCTGAGTTGTTGTCCCCAAATTCTCTGAGACTATGACCATTATCTCCTCCCCGAGAAGTGTATATAGAGATAGCAGCCCCAAGAGTGGCCATGTGGGTGGACTCCACATCTCATTGCCATCTGTATGCTGGGGGAGAGGGTGGGAGGAGAACTAGCAAGCCTCTGAACAGAACCTTCCTAATACTCCCTCTGTCTTCAAAGGCACCAAGAATGAGGCTGGGCGAGATGGAGACGATAACCATCTTCCCATTTCCTTGTTGCAGGCACAGTTGAGGACGATGACACAAACAGCTGTCTCCACATACTATGTACAACCTGGGCCCTTTGCCCAATGTGTCCAAAAGGTCTCCCTCAAATTAGTCTACCAGATCCAGGGTCATCCTTGGCCTCATCTAAGCCATCTTTTTAGCCAATTAGAAAGTCCCTTTGCTTTATAGTTGAGGGAAAAAAATCTAATCTTCATCTCCCATATTTCCTTGTTCCTAACCACCCTACCACCAAGCTTGTGGATCCATGTGCATGAGATATGTCTGATGAAAAATGATCTACAAAGGCAAAAGAAAAGGGAAATAATTGTAGTAAGATGATGAAACAGTTGTAATGCCCATACACTCAAAGAATCCCAGGAGCCAAGTTAGTTTCCTGGGAATCTCGGGTCCAGATGCCACAAAGAGCAGAGGCCCATAGAGACACATAGGGACCAAAGGAGATAGCTCTAAGCTTCCCAGAAAAATAAAAAAAGAAATCTCAGGAAGGTGAAGAAAGGGGAAAAGTATTGCTGAGTCATGTACCATCCCTTGAAGTAAAATTTGCCAGCCAAAGCCTCTCTTCCTGCTCCAGTATGGGAGCATCAGAGTATTCCAGAAAGGTTCACTAGTGAGCTCTCTTGCTCTGCTGTCTAAGCTTCTTGTGGTTTCTAGGACAGAGAACTGTTGTGATTTCAAACAACTGAAACTTGTTTTCTGAGCCAAATGTGATGGCACATGGCTGAAATCCCAGAATTAGTAAGGCTGAGGCAGGAGGATTGTTGTGATTGCATGGCAATCTGTGCTACAGAGTGAGTTCCAGGCCAGTCTGGGCTATGGTTTTAAGGTCTTGTCTCAAAACCAGGTACCCATAGGACCACACTCCCTACAGAGACCTTGGAGAAGGTGCTGTCTGTCCTACAAGCTTTTCAGGCCATCCAGTGTTCTTTGGCTTGTGACTACATTACTTTAATGTCTCCAATTTAAATCTTGAATGCAGTCATTTTGGATCCTCAATTGTGTCAGCAAAGATCCCTCTCCCAGATAAGGTAACATTTACAGGTTTGACAGATGAGGTCACAGATACTGATGGGAGAGGTCTAGCATAGCTTCATGAGGTAGAGGGGTTTCAGCCAAGGCCAGAGTGGCACAGGAGGGAGGGAGATGGGGACAGTTTGAGTACAGTCCTCATCTAGCCCACTTGCTTTGTTAAGACCATGGCGCTTAGGAGGGCTCACAAGTTGAACAAGCAGGCTCAGCAGGCTGACTTGCTTACATGGGGCCAGGAGCTCAGACTTCACTGTCTCTCCCATTCCTGTGTCTGGAGTCCTGCAGTGCCTACTCTTGATGAGCCACGTATATGCTTCCCTCTTATGTTGCCCATCCATGCCTACGTCTGTTTCAACCTGTCTGACTCTGTCTCCCTTACATTTCACCTTCTTCAGGGAAACGTGTTTAAAAGTACCTGGACTTTCCCAGGTTCCCTGATGACTACAGGGTCACAAATCAGACCCTGACCTGAACTTGGCATTCAGAGTCCTGGACATTTGGCTTCTCCCTGTCCCCAAGAAGTCTTTCTTTTCTGTAGCCATTTTCCCTTTCTGTATGCTCTGCCTTCTCCACGGTACAGCCTTTGCTGTTTCCTCTCTGCATTGCTCCTCTACTCTTATTGTTCAGGCCTGGGGTGTCCTTTCCCAAGGAGTCTTCCCTGGCTAATCTGGCTGCATCAGCCATGCTTCATTGTACTTCCACAGTGCCCCCTGCTGATCTTGTTCGAGCCTGGATTAGCCTGCATTTTCCATGTCAGTGACTAGACATCAAGCTTGCACTTGTCTTGACTGTCCATTCTGGAACTTTGTGATGCAATGTGACTGCCACTTGCACTGTGATGCTGCTCGGTGAGGAAGGGTTCCAAGGATGCTTGTGTGTGTGCTAACTTTGTAAGAATCAGGGATGTTTGCTTCTACTCTCCACTGTCCTGCTGGGCGGCTGGTTAAAGTCAACGATGGCCCCCAGTGTTTAGAGATCTGGAAGGGCAGGTAGAAGTCCCCTGGGAGGGGACAGGTGGCTGCTAGGAGGACTTGCCTTCACCTCTTTGGCCTCCAACCTTTGTTACTACCAAAGGAATTCCAATTTGGGGAACACTCAGTTTCCCTGCCCACCCTCAGTGCCAAGTGTCAGTGAATGTCAAGGAAATACCAGAGGGTTTGTTGCCTGGAGGTGAGTTCTTCCTGCAGGGCTCTAAGCTTCGTGTCTTGCTTCAGATGCAGCAGAAGGGCAAGGTAACAATGTACTTTGACTTACTCATGTTTCTTGTGCTTTGGCCTTGAAAACCTCATTATCCCTTCTCCCTGCTCTCTACCTCACCTCTTCCCCTGGCATTTACCAACTTGCCTGTGACCATACCATCTGGAGTTTTTCCAGATATGTTGTGAGGATGCCAGTTGCCACAACATCTATTCCCAGGCCCAAGATAGCTGGAGTCAGGGATGCCCATGGGGTGGGGAGGGGTCATTCAGATACCCATGTGTACACATATCCCACAAGCCACTGGAAGAAAAAGGCTATCTCTGCTTGCCAACTGGGAATATGGGCAGTGGTCTGGAAGCACAGGGCATGTCTTTCAGCTCCCACCCATTGACACTGGGGCCATCACCTGCCTGGCTTTGCATGGTAGTTAACCACCCCTGCTGGAGAATATTATCTACATTTTCACAGGCCCATCTGGCTTTTACTTTGAACCCAACAGCTTCTAAGTCAGGTAAAAGCCAGGAAAATGACTTGTGTCCAGTGAGTTGGTTAGTTAGAATCAGCCCGTTTCCCCTGCAGGCTGTCAGTTATTGAGAGAGAAGACTCTGACCCTTCTACAAACAGGGGTGTAGGGATGCTCCAAGTCCTTGAGTGATGGCCTTTGGCCGAGTGAAAAGGATGCTTTATTGAGTTGCTTCATTGCCCTTGGAGATAATGTGGATGTGGAGAGACCCGGATCACAAACTAGATTGGAGCAACTATTTGTAAACATTGGGCCCTCCAAGCATGGGTGGGGACAGCAGTCAGGAGAAGCTACTTGGCTTCCTTGTGCATGCAGGTGCTGCTGGGAAGGTCATATGCTGGCATTTCCAGAGTGAGCCCTGCACATCCGTATCTGCCCTTCCTTCCTTACCCTGCATCCATCAGTCATTCCCTTAGCTCTTCATTCCCTCTCCACCTCCCTGGACTCTGGGCCTAATGTGGCCCTATGGATGGTCCAAAGCCCTGTCATCTGATACCCTCTTTGCTGGATAGAACTGTTGTCTTGACATGGTGGCAATGGCCCTTTATGGAAGGGGGGTTGGGCCTTAGATGCATGATGCTGTTTGCAAGGATGGTGATGAGAAGTCTTGGGCAATGTGTTTCTTGGTGGCCAGTCTTTATCTAGAAGATGATATGCTGGTCATCCAGGGATAGGGGTCTGATTCTGGAAGGGTTTACTCTCATAAAGGACTCAGTCAGGAGTTCTCATTTCTGAGGGCTCCTTTGTTTGCTTGTGCCTCCTTTACTTTGCTCTTGCTCTTTGCAGAAGGCCTCAATGCAGACTACGTGAAGGGGGAGAACCTGGAAGCTGTTGTGTGTGAGGAACCCCAAGGTGAGGACTTCTCCATCACTATCTCCTGCTGAAGGCTCTCCAAAGTCAGTGGCTCCAGCACTGAATAGAACTGGGGTAGGGAGGCTCAGAAGAATCTGTTTCTGTAATGTCTGCTCATCACAAAACCTTCAGGGGGCCGGGTCTGCCTGTATCCTGTGACTGGTCAGCTGGCCTCCCTGTTTCTTGAGAATGGGGACATTGGTGCCATGGTGATGACTTCTAGGTACTTTTGCTGCTTAGCCCCAAGTATTGAATCATCTGAATGTGCCTGGTACAATTTACCTCTTTGCCAGAAGACTCACATACATCCTGGGCATGCTCACCCTGAGCTGTGGAAGGTTTTGCTTCTAACCTAACCTATAGTCTATTTGTTTTCAATTTTTGTATGTTCATGACAGGGTCTCAGGTAGCCAAGATTGGCCCCAAACTTGATATATATCTGGGAGTAACCTTGTATTCCTGATCTTGTGTGTCTATCTCCTGACTTCTGGGATTCTAGGCATGGGTCCACATCTGTCTCTAAACCTTTCAATTAGAAAAATGGCTAAAGACAAGGAGACACATAGTTAAAAGCCAGATGTTCTATTACCTTCTCTGGGGTCATTGAGCACTTTTGGGATTCAGTGACTAGCAGAAATTAGAGGCTACATATGGTAAGGCCAAAGTCGAGGGAGACAGACATTCCTGTGGCCCAAGTATGCTGATGGGGAGGTATGATTTCATGAGGTTGTGAATCCAACCTGCTGTCCTTTGCCTGAGCCCTATGGTGGCCCAGACAAGGAGAAGAGAAGATAGCAGAGCTGCAGGGCAGCAGGTGTGCTGAGGAAGGATGTGGCCATACCTGTTTCATAATGGAGAATGAGGCCCCAGGTCACTGCGGATAGTGCAGCACCAGATGGATGAAAATAGTCCTGCATGCAGATGCAGAGTTGTGGATTCTATAGGAACATTCTGTCACATTTTTTTTTATTTTGGTTTTTCGAGACAGGGTTTCTCTGTGTAGCTTTGGAGCCTATCCTGGCACTCGCTCTGGAGACCAGGCTGGCCTTGAACTCACAACGATCCACCTGCCTCTGCCTCCCGAGTGCTGGGATTAATGGTGTGTGCCACCAACACCTGGTCACAACTTTAATACTATAATCAACACTGTGTGAACACCCAAGGATAGAATGCTATGATGAATGCTTTAGATCCAGTAATCCAGCAGTTTTGACAGAAGCATGCTCATTTTCTAGATGAGGAAAGGGAGGGAGAACTCTTGTGCAGCCTGACAGGCTTCTTCCTTTACTCTTCTTGACCCACCTTGAACTTTTCATCCACAGCACAAGGCAGTGAGCAGGTTTGGGATGTGCTAAATTGCCCACACAACATAGAACTAAATTTCTAACAGAACTTTTGTAGAGCAGAGGTTGAAATTCTCCTAACACATGTCTTCTCTCCCTAGTGACATACTCAAAACAAGAAACACAGTCTGCAGAGCCACCACCATCCGAGCCACCCCGGATCTGAGGCCCTGTTCAGTGGCAGGTCCACAGGAAGGTGCCACCGTTTGTGACCCAGCTCCAGATTTCATTTGCTGACCCTTCAAGTTTCTTCCCATGCCACTGGCTTATTATTGTACTGAGTTTTCTGGACAAGCCTTAGGTGTTCATGAGTGTAGTTTCTGGGTTCTGTTTTGCCGAGTATGGTGACTGCTCTACCCCAGGTCCTCTGAAGAGACTTGGTGCTGAGACTTGAGACCCACCTTGAGCAGATCACCAGCATTGGAAATTGCTGGGTCATAGATGCAACCTGCTCCAGCCTGAGCATGGGAAAAAGCAGGGAGACCAAGATGAGGGTAAACAAGAGGATGGTGGGGAAGTGCCAAAAGACAGCATTTCTGCTTAAGCAATCCTTAGGTACTGTGAGACACTTTACCTATGTGCCAGAGGGGTTGTTGTGGCACTGACCACTAAGAGCTCTAAGAAGGATGCTCAGGTAGCATCTGGTACATGTGGAGCCCCTGCAAGAAATAAATCAGCAAACACCAAGCTGCAACACACACACACACACACACACACACACACACACACACACA